CTCAGCCAGTGAGCGGGAACCGGTCTGTATGTGGGATCCGAACCCTCGGGCGGGAGCGCCACCACGCTTCCCAAGCGGCGCACTTATCCAGTGCGCCACCGGGCCGGCCCCCATATTGCTTATCTTTCTGCCAACAAACTTGAGTCTCACTAATTTAAACTACCTGAGATGTACTCATATCCTCTAATTCTTCAAGTGTAAGTCATTTTGTTACTTTATTTAAAATATTGCTTAAGGGCCGAGCCCGTGGCGCACTCAGGAGAATGCAGCGCTCCAGCGCTCCCGCCAGGGGTTCGGATCCTATATAGGGATGACCGGTGCGCTCACTGGCTGAGCGCGGTGCGGCCGGTCTCAAAAAGGACAATATATATATATATTGATTTTAAAAATTTACAATTTTTAACTAAAAAATAAAATATTGGAAGCAGGGCCAGCCCGGTGGCTCACTCAGGAGAGTGTGGCGGCGCAGGTAGGGCCGAGGCCGCGGTTTGGATCCTATATGGGGGTGGCCGGTGCACTCACTGGCTGAGTGTGGTGAGGATGACACTGTGCCGAGGGTTGCGATCCCCTTACCGGTCAAAAAAAAAAAATATTGGGGGCCAGCCCGATGGCGCACTGCGCTAGTGCGCCGCTTGGGAAGCGCGGAGGCGCTCCCGCCGAGGGTTCGGATCCCACATACAGACCGGTTCCTGCTCACTGGCTGAGCGAGGCGCGGGGGCAACCCGAGGGTTGCGATCCCGTTGCCGGTCCCGGTCCGGTACGGGGGCGACACTGAGGGTTGCGATCCGTTGCCGGACACGGAAAAAGACAAAAAAATTAAAAAGAAAAAAAAAAAATTGGAAGCAAGTAAGAGAATCTGCCTATTCTTTTTTCAGGGTGGGGCTGGAGTTCTGTCCAGGAGAAGGATCAAACCCTGGACCTTGATGTTATCAGCACCACACTCTAACTGAGCTAACCAGCCAGCCCAGAAATCTACCTATTCTTGAAATTACTTTGTATTGGACATAAGCTGGCATTGCACTTTATTAAAATTCTAAGTAACTAAGTGGTTATGTAGTAGTATATATCACACTGAGTAAAACAACAAAAGCAAAACAACAACAAAAGTATATTTCACTTCTGCAGAAATGCTGAAGCAAAATGTATGCCTAACAAAAACTCTCTTAAGTTACTGCTTAAATGCAGCTGTAAGTACAATTTACATTTATAACAGAAGTGTAAAGGCTATGTGCTAAGTAAGATTGATTAAAAGGGAAATAGCTTCTTTGTTTAAATATCTATAATTTTTCAACAGAAAGGGATTTAGAGATATCTAATCCAAGTCTCTCTTTTTATAGGAAAGCAACTGAAAACCAAAGCACAGCTAAGAAAATTGCTTAATTACTCCTAAACTAACCTAACCTTTGTTACCTCTGAAAATAATTGGTCAGAAAATGAAAAGTAAGTATAAATAAATAAACCTGAGGTGAAGGCACCTTTAATACACAGGCATGTTCCATCTACAGACTAGCAAGGTGTGCATGTATGGAGGAATGCCCTGTATAATGACAAGTAGCATGGTCAACGGAAAGAACACAGCTTCAGAGTGTGAATGTAGGTTATATAAACTGTCATTCTCGTCATGCCCAAACTAAAACTGGAGTTAAGGAGCCAGGAGGAAAAAGAATTCAGGGCACACAGCACCTGCTCCAAGAAGAATTTTCTTCTTCCCAGCTGTTGAAACTGCCTGCTGTAATCCTAAAACGAGTTTGTACCTACCTGCTGCTGAAACAACCTGTTGTGATTGTAGGACAAATTTTATCTAACACAGACACCAACCAAAGCCTGCCAACTCCCAAAACTTTGCTAGTGCCAATGACCTTTCTTTCAAATCAGTACATAACATTTCTCACTCTAATAAAAATCCCAGACTTTTCTTTCTACTTCAGACATACCAGAGACCACCCCAGTCTGTGTGTGTGCTCTAGACCACAATCCTGTTTTCCTCAATAAAACATTCTCTTTGAGATTCATATATATATACATTTTTTTTTAAACTTTAACAAGAGTCAGGCAGAGGCCTTTGTCCACACTAAATGTGTGACTGAACCTCCGTTACCTTCGGTTTCTTCATGCGTAAAATAAAAACACAATCTCCTTTACAGGTTTGTTGTGAGATTAAATGATGTCACATAATGGAAAAAATTTAAGAAATCTGATACATAGTAGGCCTTCAACAAAACTTACTTGTCCTTCCATCCCTCAGCGCTATCTTAGCATAGTCAACAAACATATGCCTCATAAAAAACTAGGGTTATAATTTTTTTCTTTAATTCCAGGACCTAGGAAACAGATTCTAAAAGAATTTATCTATAGCTACATTTCTGTCACTATATTCGACTTTGGAGTGTGAGCTGATGGCATTTGAATTCCTAATATCCCTTACCTTCCTAAAAGCAAAGCCTTCCAAAAAAACTCAACTGTCACAGACACTATCACAAAACAAAGGGCCATTTACCTTCCAAAAAGTCACTTGTTTTTCCATAAGTGCCCTTTCTCTCTTCTAAAGAGTTTCTTCTCCCAGAAGTTCCCCTCTGCCCCTCCCCAACCCCATCTCCTATTGAGATGGTATATAAGCCCCCAAAATTTCTTTACAGACTCTTGTGCTTGTACATGTAATTAAATGTGATTTTTTAAATGTCCTCTTGCTAATCCATCTTTTGTCTGTTTAATTTTCAGACCCCCACTCAAAAGGGGCAGAGAAAAAGCTTTTCCTCCCCTAACAGTAGTTACTAAAGAGTCTACTCTATTCAACATCACCATCTGCTCACCTACTATAAACATTTAGACAAAAACTTAAAATAAATATACGGATATACACAAAAACCACTTGCTCAAACAAGAAAGAAAATTCTATTCATCAACAATTGTAATGTAACACTTAAAAGACACAATCCTATCCAAAAATGTCCTTCTTAAGACTATAAATATTTTGACAAAGACACAAGATTTTAATTTATTGTAATAAGATCAGCAAATAAATATACAAAAACAAAATGTTTCCTTCAGGCCAACCTCTTGCATCAAAAAGGTAGAACACCAGAGAGAAAAGGAGAGCATGCAGGCACATAGAGCTGTATGCAGGAATAACAAGATACATTATCCTAGGTATGCAGTCCATGAAATAACTGTGAACTTAAGTTACATTTATTTATCAATAAACATTCTTTTTTAAAAAAAACAGCAAATGATACAGACATATAGAAGTCTCTTACCAGAACAATTCCTCTATTATGAAATAAATTAATTAAGGAGCAAAGATAGGAGCGGGGGGGGGGGGGGGGGGGGGG